GGTCTACACAGGGCTGCCTGAGGTCTACACAGGGCTGCCTGAGGTCTCACAGAGCTGCCTGAGGTCTCACAGGGCTGCCTGGGGTCTGCACACCTCTGCCTGGGGTCTACACAGGGCTGCCTGAGGTCTACACAAGGCTGCCTGGGGTCTACACAGGGCTGCCTGGGGTCTGCACACCTCTGCCTGGGGTTCTGCGGGACCTGCCTAGGTGTGGTGTCAGGAATGGCAGAGGTGCTGCAGAGCACCCAGGAGTGACCTTGACAGTACGGTGTGATCCACAGGGTCTGCTCCTCACCCAAGGTCCCCACCGGCTGGAGGCTCTAAACAACACCTGTTTATTGTCTCTCAGGTTCCCAGGGTCAGGCGTCCAGCCGCGGGCTTGGGTCTTCTGCTTGTGGCCTCTAAGGCCTGAAATCAAGGTGATTTACCAGGTGTACAGTCGAGACTGTTTTCATCTGAAGGCCCGACTGGAGAGAGATCTGCTTTCAAGCTGCTGTAATTCAATTCTTTATGTTTGTAAGACCGAGGCCCACTTTCTTGCTCCTGTTGCCTCTCAGGTCTCAGCCCTCTCTACAGTGTGGCAGTTTGCTTCTTCAAGGACATCAGGGGACTCTCTTCTGCTTCAGATCTCTCTGATTCCTAGACCCTCTATTAAGACATCACCAGATTAAGTCTGGCCCACCAGACAGTCCTTTCTGATCAGCTTAGTGTCAGCTGTAACTGAATCATGGGTATGATGTCATCCCATCCTATTCAGAGCCCTTTCCCACACTCACGAGGAGTGGATTCTACACACGTGTACCTGAGGGTAGGCATCTGCCTCCCCTGGTGGAGGTGAGGATGGAGGACCTTCTCAAGGGTAGGGCCCTGGCCAACTTAGTTGTCTGAATGCACATCTCCAGGTCCCTGGGCAAGACCCACAGGGAGGCCATGGCACAGGTCAGGTGAGTTCATGAGCAAACATAGGGGCAAGGTCTAAGGGAGGCAGTGACCTGCAGCTTCTCTGAGGCGCCTCTGAAGCATCCTCCCTGAGCTGTGTGGGAGTGCTGGAAAGGGTGAACACTCCACCCCCAATTCCACCCCTAGGCACAGGCCTAAGAGACGCAAAAACACATCCACAAGGAAATGTCTACTCTAATGTACACAGCAGCATGATTCATACCACCCCAACACGGAGGCAATCCTGGGGCCTGTGATAGACAAATGGATAAAGTGTGGTAAGTCCACGCTGTGGAATATTACTCAGGCATGAAGCAGAACAAAGCCCTGGCACATGCTGCAACATGTGAATCTAGAGGACTGCTGGGCTGAACGAAAGAAGCCATGTGACTTTGCCTCTGAGAAATGCCCAGAACAGGGAACTCTGTAGAGAGAAAGTTTGCGGATTGCCTGGGGCTGGAGGAGATTGTGGGTGATGGCTGAGGGGTGACTGGCATTTCTGTGAGCTAATGAGATTGTCCTAAAGTTGATTTAAGTTGATGGTAGCACACCTCTGCAACTAACAGGCATCAAGTGACCCAGTGCAAGTGAACGGGTGGCACAGCATGCAAATCTCCCAACAAAGCCCCTAGGAGAGAGAAGTCCCAGATATCAGTAGTGCTGAGGTTGAGGATCCCTGGCTTGTAAGGTCATCCGCTGCCCCGACTGTGACGTGCACTGACACTACGTCAAGCTACGGCACATGCCAGCCTCTCTCAGCCTCGGTTTCCACATCTTCCAAACAGGGGCCCATAACAGAACCCTAACCCTTTGAGGTCTGGGCTGATGCCTGCAAGCTTCGGAGTGTGTAATGGTAGCCACTCAGTCAACTGGTATTGGCTGCCACCTTGTTTCCTACTGGAGTCTTCTCCCTGGCAGAAGAGCGGATGAGTACATTCCAGGTCCCTTCCGTCAGGGACTGTTTTTCTTTGCTTCTAAACCAGTGGTGTCTGAATGCTTCTTGAAACTCCCATCCTTCTCAGGGCACAGTGAGAATCAAGTGAACTCAGCTAAAGAAATGCCAGTGGGCCCGGGAGCCACTGGGTACTGACAGACATGGAAGAGGCCAGCGGTACAGACACTGAGCAGAGCACCAAGAGGAGCACAGGCCAGCCCCAGGAGGTGGGTGGGGCTAGAGGGCTTCGCAACTCAGCCCTGCCCCAGTTTCTCCCTGTGAAGAGGCTGCTGCTTGGTCCCCGGCTCTGCCTCTTATTAATTTCCTGGGTGAGCGATCACACATGGGGACCTCAGTTTGCTCATCTATGACATGGGAGTCTGGCTGCCCACCATGCAGCAAGGACTCTGTCACGATTCCACCAGAGACCGGAGCTGCAGGCTGCCCAGCTGAAGGTGAAGAGGGCCTTACGTTATTTTTTATGACATTGGCTTGGGGAGCAGTCCTGGGAAACCTGCTTACCCAGGGACGCCCTCCTCCCCAGTGTGCTCCACGAACTGGAGGCAGCTGGTCCCCTCTGCCCCTCTGTAGCTGGGAACAGGCGGCGAGTGCTCTGTCCAAGGTCACACGGTGGCGCAGGGACATCCCTGAGATTCAGACCGAGACCAAACTTTCTGACTGCCCTCCTGTCCCAGCCCTGTTCGTGGCTAGTTCCGGGGTGGACACGTGCATCCTTCTGGAAACCCTTGGCTGGGCACCTCTCGGCCGGGCCCACAGGAAAGAGTGTTTCCACAGCTTGTCGCAGGCCACTTTCCTCCCCAGCCCCAGCCCCATGTTGGGGGGACTCTAACTGTACCCCTTCCTCCCCATCCATCAGTAGGGGGTGCAAGGAAAAAGAACTGTTGGTGAAAGTCAAAATGCTCTCTATCCTTACGGATTCAATCGGATTCGAGTCTTGGCAGGATCGTTGCCCCGGCTACTTGGGGAAGGAGGTGGAAAGACCCTGAAAAGTTGAGCTTTTCCTTGGATTTGGGGAAAGGGGAGCTTTCCTGGGGTCCTCTTTAAAAGGCCCTCCCCTCATTTCCGGCCGCGGCTGCCAGCCTTGGCTGGGCGCCTGGATCCTGTTGCCATGACGACAGGAAGAGGCGGTGGCGGCGGCAAGCGATGCTGAGAGATGGAGGCTAGTGGGGGTGGGGGTGGTGGCTTTGAAATGGGGGTGGGGGTAGGGTTCAGGGGCGGGGGACGCGAGGGGGGAGGGGCAGGTACCCTGCGTCTCTGGCCCCCTCAGTGCCTCTGAGCGGACCCCTCTCCTTTATTTTTCTCGGGCTCCCTGTGGTGTTCCCCCTGTCTCTGCCTGTCTCTGGGTCTCTGGGTCTCTCTCCAGTCTCAGTCTCTCTCCATCTGTCTCTCTTTCTGGGTCTCTCTTTCCTTCTGCACCTGGCTTTCTGTCTTCAGGCACCTTCTGTCACCCAGAGCCCTCTCCCCTAATTTTCTCTCCGTATTTACTCTCTCTTCCTGTCAGTCAGCCTCTCTCCACCAAGACCTTGCCCCCTCCCCGCTTCTCCCCCTCCCCCTTTCCATTGCTTCCCCTCTTCCCAGTTCTCCCCCAACCTCTCAGTCCCTCTTTCTGTCTCTCCCATCTGTCAATCCTTCCTCCTCTCTGGATGACTCTGTCCCTTGTCCTCCTTCCCTTCTGTTACTCAGTTCCCGACCCCCCCTCCTCCCCCTTACCCCAGCCCTCCCCCACTCCGTCCCTCGGTTCCTCTCTCCGGGTCTCCGTCCCTGTCCCCTTCTCTCCCCGGGTATTTCTCTCTGTGTGTGTCTCTCCAACTTCCTTCTGTTACCAGTCTCTGCCTCCCCCAAATTCCTCCCTCCCCCATCCCTGTTTCCCCGTCTCCGAGTCTCTCTTCCCGTCTCTCCTGTCTCGCTGTCTCTCTCCCTCCCTCCCCAGCTCTCACTCTCTTCTTCCCCAGCTTGCTTCTGCCACCCAGACCCTGCCCCCCATCCTCTCCCTTCCCCCATCCATCTCCTCTCGGAGGCTCCCCATCCC